TCGGTTGAAATACTTTCGTTATCGTTCTTACGGTTTTCCATATCCAACTTAGCACTCGACGAAGATAAAATTCTTGAAATTTTCGTTTTTAAAACAATAATCTTATCAGAATATTCTTCCGATTGTTCGTATTCCTTTTCAATTTCGTCAACTTCAATCAAATCTTCAATTTTCAAATCCAGTTCCTTCAATAAAGATTCCTTTTCAATAAGTTTAGCCAATAATTCATCTAAAGTTTCAATGTTCGGAATTTCATTTTTTATTTCATGTTCGATTTCGCCGAACAATCTAGTCGTAGATGCTCTGACCGCACCTCTTTTCTGCTTCCGTTTTGAAAGTTCAGCAGACATTCTCGAATTCAGAATAAATTATCGAATAAAGAACGAAGAAATAATTTCAATATAAAGTTCAAGATCAAATTCAAACGAACCCCTCTTCAGTAATAAATATTTTCAATCAGTAAAAAATATTTGCAATCAATTCTTGGGGTTTTCGGCACCATATAAAAAAGCGACAGAGGGGTTAGGATTCATATTCTTTAATAACAACAAAACAAAAAGTAAACATTAGAATAGCCAAAAACAAAAGAGTAGGCAACGCCATCTATTGGTTCAAAACATAAATTTTCTACAACAATTAAACGTCAAATTTTGCTATTTATATATTTCCTAATTTATTTTATAAAGTGGTAGTCGTTTTTAATTCAAATGACTTCTTTATGCAAATTATACACTGCGTAAAAATTGGTGGACATTATCAAATTTAAAAATTTGTTTTAAAGAAATATTTCAATGTTTGATATTTCTTGAGAAGTATTAAATGATTATTCTGCGTTTTATTGTACAGTTTGCTAAACAAAGAGAGAAAAAAAAAAAGGATAATGTTTTAAACTTTTTAGTCAGTTATCAGACGTTAAAACTGTAAAGTGTTTTCTCAAAGAGAAGGAAATACCTCCAGAAAAAAAAGAAAGAAAAAAAAAAGCCTCTTGAAATATGTTTAACTGTAACAGTAGCAAAAAAAAGGACTTTCTCTAAAGAAACATATCAATTATATTTGTTCGATATTTTAATGTCTTCTAAAGATGGATTAAGAGAAATATCAGTATTCGGTATACCGAGCATATGTATACCGGGCAGTGGTAATGAATCTTAAAAAAAATAACAGTGTAGGGTATACCGGGCAATTGTATGCTGGGCAGTGGCACTTAACTAGAATATATTTCGGACATTTGCCAAAGTGACTATGTGATTGCTAACATTCACCGGTGGAAGTCAACAACCACCAATTTCGGTCATTCACACTAGCATATACATTATAATACTTCATCAAATACAGTATACACTCACAAACTAGAAAAATTAAAGAATGGTCACGAACTTTTCGGAAAATTTCATAAACTTAACTTTCAATTTAATTTTATAAAATCTGTCCTGAAGTTTTCACACCACGATATCGACGAAATATTTTTAATAATTATGAATATTTTTTAAAGTACATATATTTTTTAAAATTTAGCCGCCACACTTAAACTATTTTTAGGCCGTATTTGAGCCTTGAAATATCAGATCGAATTTGGATCTGTAAGCATCAAATTATAAATTTTTATAATTTAATGTAGCTAACATAATAAAAGTTTATTTAGTACTCAAATATATTCACTGTTATTTTTTTTTCCATTATAAAGCTTTCTACATCTAAGAAACGTGAACATTCGGTATTAACCCCTTGGGGACGGGTGATTTAGAAAAGCATTCGTACAAAATCAGAATCAAGTTGCAATTAAATAAAAAACGGTAACTTAAATGTAGTCGTTACTAATTTGACAGACTTACTTTGCTTTTATTTTAATTATTGTTAGTTTAATCATATCTATAATCAATGTTAATTCAAAGTATAACTAAATAGTTTTATTTTGAACAAAGTAATGGTGAATTAAATAAATCAAAAAATTATAATTCCGCCTACAAATAAACTGCTAAAGAAATACTTTGATTACCAGTTTTATCTTCTTACCCTGATTGATACGGTTTTTTGCTGTCACGTATTTGTGACAGTCGGCGCGAAAGGGTTAAAGATAAACTTATAGACGCAGAGAGGATCATTTCCAGATATTTTTATACTCATTATTTCCAAGTCTTCCCTTCAAAAAGGGGAATTTTTACTAGAGTACAAATATACTTCTATTTTATTTGCTCGAAATTTTTATCTGCCTCACAAATATTTCTGTAAGAATTACCGATACCTGAGTTAACGAAAAATGACAGAAAACTGATAAACTTTGCTGTTTCTTATAATTTATTTTATAAAGTGGTTGCAGTTTTTAATTCAATTGAGTTCGTCATACAAATTATACACTGAAAAATTGGAGGACATTATAAATTTTCAAATTTTGTTTTAAAAATATTTCAATTTTTGATATTTCTTGACAAGCATTAAATTATTCTTATGCATTTTAATGCGCAGTTTGCTGAAATGAAAAAAAGGAGGGGAATAATTTTTTAAAAAACTTTAAAGCTATTTATCGGATGTTCAAACTGAAAAAGTTGTCACAAAGAGAGGATTATATCTTAGAAAGGAAACCTATTGAAATATAATTAAGTGTAACCGTAGCAAAATAAAAAAAAATTTGACCGAAAAAGCTCTTTTTCAAAGAAACATAAGTTTTTGTTAATACCATTCGATTTAGCGTGAAAAATATCTTGTAAATTTAAATTTCTTTACATTATGACAATTTGAGAGGGTCTACAAAGAGTAACCAATATTTGGCATAAAAAAATGGTATGTCACCAGTTTTTGTAACGCCTCCTATAACTGAAAGCCTCCACACGATTTCTTATAGGTAGCGCGATCAGACCACTAAGAAGGTAAACCATTTTACAAAAGAGCCATTTAATAGAAAATCTAGAATAATAAGAAAGTATTAGCAAATATGTGCCTTAAATGCTTTTAAATTTATGAATATGATTGATTTGCCTTATTTACTTGTCAGTCCTCAAATATATATGATAAATATCTCCCAATTACTTACAAAAAAGAATTTGGGTTCATGCGCACAACTGGTAATGGATGTGCATTTTAAATTCTTATATAAACCATGTGGAGGCTTTCTGATGTAGGAGGTGATGGTTTTTTTGTCATTGGTATACAGAGGTATTTGTATTTAACCACATGTATGGCTCCTATGGTATCAGAGCTGACCTATCAAGCAATATTGGAGCAAGCAAGTTCGTAAGTTAACGTTGTTTTAGTATTCCTTATGTTATTACAGAGATGCCAACTGCTGCGGACACGCCAAAATAATTTAAAAAACGGTAAATAACTGCAATGCAAATTTGTCAAATAGTTGACAATTATAGCTTGCTTTTAAAAATGCAAAGAATGTTATAAGTACTATAAAGTGATGAATTATATAAGCCTACGCATTGTTTAGAAATAGTGGAGGATTAAAATCTACTAAATCGAACTTATGAAAACAAGAATTATAATTAATAAACTACCACTTGAAAATATTTATTCGCTGTGCTTATGTTAGCTCTTTGCTCCAACAATAAATGATAAGTCGGCCCGTCTAATTCAGGGGCTCTAAGCACAAGTGGTTTCAGGAATCTCGTCGAAACAAGTGAGAGTGACCACCAATACAGATGAATAGTCTTACGGGGTGTCAACCGGCAGTATTTTTTGTGATCTAAGTATATATGACCTTAGAGTAATGAAATAAATAAAAAGTGGTAGCAAGATTAAAGTTATTCAGTGCGTAAGCCAGTCAATCAGCAATGTGATGTAAATCTGAACAGAAATTAACAAATTAAATACAATGTGGTTGTAAGAGTTTTCTTATCACAAATAAAAAATTTCTTTTCTCTTTATATATCAATTTTGTCTTGTCATATTAAATGTATTATTTTTGGAACTTGTATGTTTTTTCAATTATTAAAATCGTTTTAAACATGCCTAAATTTTATTTTAATGAAGATATTAAACGTAAGATGGTTGCTTTCCTATCTACTTAGGAATAGATATGATTTAGTTTCTCATCAGAAAACAGAGAACAAACGAATAAATTATTAAATAAATAAATGAATATTGGAAGGAAGGATGAAAGAAAACTGGTAGCGCAATTATTTCAGAAATCATGTCGAAACAAACCACCACGATAGATAAATAATTTGACGGGGGTGTCTACCGGCCGCAAAAATTTTCGTGACCTTCATGCCGAAATTGATTATTTTCAAGCTCTCAAATGTTTAAGTTGCGATTTCAGCAACGAATCTAGCCTTGAGGAATAGGAATTAGTTTAAAATGAAATTAACAATTACCTCATTCACAAAAATATTTTTCATTTTTGAGGTATTTGACAGTTTGTTTTAACCTCATCAGATTGGTATTTACCTCATCCGATAAGCAAATACTGTATTCTCAAAAACTCAGGCCTAGAAGTGACTCAGAGCAAAAATATAATAGGAAATATAGGAATTAATTTAAGAAATTATAGGAATTTTATAGGAATGTTTTGAAAATAATATAAGAATCCCTAATATTTTGTTTAAAAAACATAGATTCAGAATTTGCATAGAACATGTACAACTTTTATTTATGTGTTATTCAAAACTAATGTTATGAAAAAACATTTCTACAAAACTCTATCTTGGCTTTAAAACTAAATGTTTTATTAGATAATCAAACTGGAGAAAAATAGAACACTGATTGTAGACAAATTTTAGCTTTCTTGTCCAGGACTAGGTCGAATATATTTCTTAATATATTTGAGTAAACCGTAGACTTATATCAGAATATAATGTTATACATTTATAAAAAAATAATTAATGAAGTAATTATATTTTTAAAATTTTTGAGGACCAGCAAAAGGTTTCAAATAGAAAATCTGAATAAAAACAATTAAGTTTATTAATACACAGCATTAGAGTTAAGAAAGAAAGTTTATTAGTAATAATGTTGGTAACACTAATTAATATTATATGAAAAATTAACTCCTCATCTTTGCAACACATGAACATAATCGAAACAATATATACAATCGAAAATAATAAGTGCAACTGGAATTAAAATTTAGAACAAAGTGTATACAAATACGAATATAATACACTGGAATATACTAAGAGTGAACAACTCAGTTAGAATCAATACATATACGTAGAATTATTATTTTTTATTAGTTTCAGCAAGCTTTTCAGTTAATATTTTAACCTGATTAGTTGCGGATTCTATGATTGCAGAAGCAATTCTCATTTCATTAAAGTCTTTAGTTTTTAATGTTTTTTGTAGGCGGGCATTACTCTCCTGCAGTAAATTCTGGGAAAGACTTAATTCATCTTTTAAGGATTTCACATGA